AGAGATGAGGAGAAGAGATACAGGTGAGTGGAGTATGATGATATACTGAGACGAAAGAAAGAGGTGGAGAAGAGATACAGGTCAGTGGAGTATGATGATATACTGAGACGAAAGAGAGATGAGGAGAAGAGATACAGGTCAGTGGAGTATGATGATATACTGAGACGAAAGAGAGATGAGGAGAAGAGATACAGGTCAGTGGAGTATGATGATATACTGAGACGAAAGAGAGATGAGGAGAAGAGATACAGGTCAGTGGAGTATGATGATATACTGAGACGAAAGAGAGATGAGGAGAAGAGATACAGGTGAGTGGAGTATGATGATATACTGAGACGAAAGAGAGAGAAGGAGAAGAGATACAGGTCAGTGGAGTATGAGGATATACTGAGACGAAAGAGAGAGGAGGAGAAGAGATATAGGTCAGTGGAGTATGATGATATACTGAGACGTAAGAGAGAGGAGGAGAAGAGATACAGGTGAGTAGAGTATGATGATATACTGAGACGAAAGAGAGAGGAGGAGAAGAGATATAGGTCAGTGGAGTATGATGATATACTGAGACGTAAGAGAGAGGAGGAGAAGAGATACAGGTGAGTGGAGTATGGTGATATACTGAGACGAAAGAGAGAGGTGGAGAAGAGATACAGGTCAGTGGAGTATGAGGATATACTGAGACGAAAGAGAGAGGAGGAGAAGAGATACAGGTCAGTGGAGTATGAGGATATACTGAGACGAAAGAGAGAGAAGGAGAAGAGATACAGGTGAGTGGAGTATGATGATATACTGAGACGAAAGAGAGAGGAGGAGAAGAGATACAGGTGAGTGGAGTATGGTGATATACTGAGACGAAAGAGAGATGAGGAGAAGAGATACAGGTGAGTGGAGTATGGTGATATACTGAGACGAAAGAGAGAGGAGGAGAAGAGATACAGGTCAGTAGAGTATGGTGATATACTGAGACGTAAGAGAGATGAGGAGAAGAGATACAGGTCAGTGGAGTATGATGATATACTGAGACGAAAGAGAGATGAGGAGAAGAGATACAGGTGAGTGGAGTATGATGATATACTGAGACGAAAGAGAGAGGAGGAGAAGAGATACAGGTCAGTGGAGTATGATGATATACTGAGACGTAAGAGAGATGAGGAGAAGAGATACAGGTCAGTGGAGTATGAGGATATACTGAGACGAAAGAGAGAGAAGGAGAAGAGATACAGGTGAGTGGAGTATGATGATATACTGAGACGAAAGAGAGAGGTGGAGAAGAGATACAGGTCAGTGGAGTATGATAATATACTGAGACGAAAGAGAGAGGAGGAGAAGAGATACAGGTCAGTGGAGTATGATGATATACTGAGACGAAAGAGAGAGGAGGAGAAGAGATACAGGTGAGTGGAGTATGGTGATATACTGAGACGAAAGAGAGAGGAGGAGAAGAGATACAGGTCAGTGGAGTATGATGATATACTGAGACGAAAGAGAGAGGTGGAGAAGAGATACAGGTCAGTGGAGTATGATGATATACTGAGACGAAAGAGAGAGGAGGAGAAGAGATACAGGTGAGTGGAGTATGGTGATATACTGAGACGAAAGAGAGAGGAGGAGAAGAGATACAGGTGAGTGGAGTATGATGATATACTGAGACGAAAGAGAGAGGAGGAGAAGAGATACAGGTCAGTGGAGTATGAGGATATACTGAGACGAAAGAGAGAGAAGGAGAAGAGATACAGGTGAGTGGAGTATGATGATATACTGAGACGAAAGAGAGAGAAGGAGAAGAGATACAGGTCAGTGGAGTATGGTGATATACTGAGACGAAAGAGAGATGAGGAGAAGAGATACAGGTGAGTGGAGTATGATGATATACTGAGACGAAAGAGAGATGAGGAGAAGAGATACAGGTCAGTGGAGTATGAGGATATACTGAGACGAAAGAGAGAGAAGGAGAAGAGATACAGGTGAGTGGAGTATGATGATATACTGAGACGAAAGAGAGAGGAGGAGAAGAGATACAGGTGAGTGGAGTATGGTGATATACTGAGACGAAAGAGAGAGGAGGAGAAGAGATACAGGTCAGTGGAGTATGGTGATATACTGAGACGAAAGAGAGATGAGGAGAAGAGATACAGGTCAGTGGAGTATGATGATATACTGAGACGAAAGAGAGAGGAGGAGAAGAGATACAGGTCAGTGGAGTATGATGATATACTGAGACGTAAGAGAGATGAGGAGAAGAGATACAGGTCAGTGGAGTATGAGGATATACTGAGACGAAAGAGAGAGGAAGAGAAGAGATACAGGTCAGTGGAGTATGATGATATACTGAGATGAAAGAGAGAGAAGGAGAAGAGATACAGGTCAGTGGAGTATGAGGATATACTGAGACGAAAGAGAGAGAAGGAGAAGAGATACAGGTGAGTGGAGTATGATGATATACTGAGACGAAAGAGAGAGAAGGAGAAGAGATACAGGTCAGTGGAGTATGAGGATATACTGAGACGAAAGAGAGAGGAGGAGAAGAGATACAGGTGAGTGGAGTATGGTGATATACTGAGACGAAAGAGAGATGAGGAGAAGAGATACAGGTGAGTGGAGTATGATGATATACTGAGACGAAAGAGAGAGGTGGAGAAGAGATACAGGTCAGTGGAGTATGAGGATATACTGAGACGAAAGAGAGAGGAGGAGAAGAGATACAGGTCAGCGGAGTATGATGATATACTGAGACGAAAGAGAGAGGTGGAGAAGAGATACAGGTCAGTGGAGTATGAGGATATACTGAGACGAAAGAGAGAGGAGGAGAAGAGATACAGGTGAGTGGAGTATGGTGATATACTGAGACGAAAGAGAGATGAGGAGAAGAGATACACTACAGGTGAGTGGAGTATGATGATATACTGAGACGAAAGAGAGAGGAGGAGAAGAGATACAGGTGAGTAGAGTATGATGATATACTGAGACGAAAGAGAGAGGTGGAGAAGAGATACAGGTCAGTGGAGTATGGTGATATACTGAGACGAAAGAGAGATGAGGAGAAGAGATACAGGTCAGTGGAGTATGATGATATACTGAGACGAAAGAGAGATGAGGAGAAGAGATACAGGTCAGTGGAGTATGGTGATATACTGAGACGAAAGAGAGAGGAGGAGAAGAGATACAGGTCAGTGGAGTATGGTGATATACTGAGACGAAAGAGAGATGAGGAGAAGAGATACAGGTCAGTGGAGTATGGTGATATACTGAGACGAAAGAGAGAGGAGGAGAAGAGATACAGGTCAGTGGAGTATGGTGATATACTGAGACGAAAGAGAGATGAGGAGAAGAGATACAGGTCAGTGGAGTATGGTGATATACTGAGACGAAAGAGAGATGAGGAGAAGAGATACAGGTCAGTGGAGTATGATGATATACTGAGATGAAAGAGAGAGGAGGAGAAGAGATACAGGTCAGTGGAGTATGATGATATACTGAGACGAAAGAGAGATGAGGAGAAGAGATACAGGTGAGTGGAGTATGGTGATATACTGAGACGAAAGAGAGAGGAGGAGAAGAGATACAGGTCAGTGGAGTATGGTGATATACTGAGACGAAAGAGAGATGAGGAGAAGAGATACAGGTCAGTGGAGTATGATAATATACTGAGACGAAAGAGAGAGGAGGAGAAGAGATACAGGTGAGTGGAGTATGATAATATACTGAGACGAAAGAAAGAGGAGGAGAAGAGATACAGGTCAGCGGAGTATGATGATATACTGAGACGAAAGAAAGAGGAGGAGAAGAGATACAGGTCAGCGGAGTATGATGATATACTGAGACGAAAGAAAGAGGAGGAGAAGAGATACAGGTCAGTAGAGTATGGTGATATACTGAGACGAAAGAGAGAGGAGGAGAAGAGATACAGGTCAGTAGAGTATGGTGATATACTGAGACGAAAGAGAGAGAAGGAGAAGAGATACAGGTCAGTGGAGTATGATGATATACTGAGACGAAAGAGAGAGAAGGAGAAGAGATACAGGTCAGTGGAGTATGAGGATATACTGAGACGAAAGAGAGAGAAGGAGAAGAGATACAGGTGAGTAGAGTATGGTGATATACTGAGACGAAAGAGAGAGAAGGAGAAGAGATACAGGTGAGTGGAGTATGATGATATACTGAGACGAAAGAAAGAGGAGGAGAAGAGATACAGGTCAGCGGAGTATGATGATATACTGAGACGAAAGAAAGAGGAGGAGAAGAGATACAGGTCAGTAGAGTATGGTGATATACTGAGACGAAAGAGAGAGGAGGAGAAGAGATACAGGTGAGTGGAGTATGATGATATACTGAGACGAAAGAGAGAGAAGGAGAAGAGATACAGGTCAGTGGAGTATGAGGATATACTGAGACGAAAGAAAGAGGAGGAGAAGAGATACAGGTCAGCGGAGTATGATGATATACTGAGACGAAAGAGAGAGAAGGAGAAGAGATACAGGTCAGTGGAGTATGAGGATATACTGAGACGAAAGAGAGAGAAGGAGAAGAGATACAGGTGAGTAGAGTATGGTGATATACTGAGACGAAAGAGAGATGAGGAGAAGAGATACAGGTGAGTGGAGTATGAGGATATACTGAGACGAAAGAGAGAGAAGGAGAAGAGATACAGGTGAGTGGAGTATGAGGATATACTGAGACGTAAGAGAGATGAGGAGAAGAGATACAGGTCAGCAGCTCTATTGCTATTAAGCAAAACATTTTCAGCACCCTTTCAAGAATGTCAAATTGTCATACTGTGGCCTGATTTTCAGTCTCTGTCACGTTCTATGTCAGGAATAATATTGTTATGACTGTTCATGAGGGCTTCACGCATTCTAATGAAATAAAATATAAACAGCATTCCTGAGGTATCAGAAAATATATTTTTTGAGCTCTCTATATTGGCTATGATTCCCAAGGTGTCAAGTAGATATCAACACTGCAGCTTCAAGAAATATTTTGTATTTTCTTGTTTTTTCCCTCAGGCAATATGATGACATTGATTTCTACAGGCCTCGGCTCAAGCCTGCACACAGCGATCCATACCTTAATAGATATGAGGAAGATGGAAGAAGATCTAGTCGGCCAGAGTACTATGATGACTACGATAGACGGTATTTTATTTTATTTCATAGGCCCCTTTTTTCTAAAAAGAACTAAATGAATAGTTATAAATAATAACTACCATTAATCTCATTACATTTCAGTAGATGTTCTCAATTATAGGCTCTTGTTATTTGAATGAACCTTGTCCCAGTTATTTCTAAATTCATGATAATGGGAATTTTCCTATATGTCATGTAAGTTTGGTATTCTTGGGTGTTCTTTTATTTTTGTATTTGTTTATAACAAATTGTAGTGTTGATAGTTAGTGTGTCGGATCTCAGGGAAGATTTGCTAAAAAATGTGTAGTTGCCTTCTATTAACTGAAACATCATCATTTAATTCAATGGCTTATATAAAACAATGCTCAGCAAAGGGTTATCTAACTCTTTCTATTAAAGGTAATATTAAATGAAACATTTGATTTTGTTTTTAGGAGAGTTCGTTTCAGTGATGAGGTCACCCCTCCTGCTCCCAGAGATGGACCTTCTTATTCAGACAGGTGTGTAAGGGATAGAAACAAACATTACATAATCAACACTTCTTATTCAGACAGGTGTGTAGGGGATAGAAACAAACATTACATAATCAACACTTCTTATTCAGACAGGTGTGTAAGGGATAGAAACAAACATTACATAATCAACACTTCTTATTCAGACAGGTGTGTAAGGGATAGAAACAAACATTACATAATCAACACTTCTTATTCAGACAGGTGTGTAAGGGATAGAAACAAACATTACATAATCAACACTTCTTATTCAGACAGGTGTGTAAGGGATAGAAACAAACATTACATAATCAACACTTCTTATTCAGACAGGTGTGTAAGGGATAGAAACAAACATTACATAATCAACACTTCTCATTCAGACAGGTGTGTAGGGGATAGAAACAAACATTACATAATCAACACTTCTCATTCAGACAGGTGTGTAGGGGATAGAAACAAACATTACATAATCAACACTTCTCATTCAGACAGGTGTGTAAGGGATAGAAACAAACATTACATAATCAACACTTCTCATTCAGACAGGTGTGTAAGGGATAGAAACAAACATTACATAATCAACACTTCGCATTCAGACAGGTGTGTAAAGGATAGAAACAAACAATACATAATCAACACTTCTCATTCAGACAGGTGTGTAGGGGATAGAAACAAACATTACATAATCAACACTTCTTATTCAGACAGGTGTGTAGGGGATAGAAACAAACATTACATAATCAACACTTCTTATTCAGACAGGTGTGTAGGGGATAGAAACAAACATTACATAATCAACACTTCTCATTCAGACAGGTGTGTAGGGGATAGAAACAAACATTACATAATCAACACTTCTTATTCAGACAGGTGTGTAAGGGATAGAAACAAACATTAGATAATCAACACTTCTTATTCAGACAGGTGTGTAGGGGATAGAAACAAACATTACATAATCAACACTTCTCATTCAGACAGGTGTGTAGGGGATAGAAACAAACATTACATAATCAACACTTCTCATTCAGACAGGTGTGTAAGGGATAGAAACAAACATTACATAATCAACACTTCTCATTCAGACAGGTGTGTAAGGGATAGAAACAAACATTACATAATCAACACTTCGCATTCAGACAGGTGTGTAAAGGATAGAAACAAACAATACATAATCAACACTTCTTATTCAAACAGGTGTGTAAGGGATAGAAACAAACATTACATAATCAACACTTCTCATTCAGACAGGTGTGTAAGGGATAGAAACAAACAATACATAATCAACACTTCTTATTCAGACAGGTGTGTAGGGGATACAAACAAACAATACATAATCAACACTTCTCATTCAAACAGGTGTGTAAATGATAGAAACAAACATTACATAATCAACACTTCTTATTGAGACAGGTGTGTAGGGGATAGAAACAAATATTACATAATCAACACTTCTCATTCAGACAGGTGTGAAGGGGATAGAAACAAACAATACATAATTAACATTTTAAACATCTTCCAGTTATTTAGGTCCAACCTGTCAGTTTCCACATGCTAATTATTCAAATTAAATAGGCCCATTTTGTGGAGAAATACTTCCCTATCTACTCATGAATAGGGGAATTTGAATAATTCATTGATGGGGCCATATCACAATCCATAGCACTAAAAAAAAGTATACTTGACTTTAATGTAGTTTGTATTTCCCTTATTGAAGGGATAAAGGTGATGTTTAAAATAGACACATAGTGTCCTCATCTGTTGTGACAGTTTCAGTGTGTTGTTGATGAATGATACAGTGTATCACATTTCCTTTTTGTTTAGTATGGGGCTGTTCTAATACATGTGTGGCACAGCTCTTGACATAAACTAAGATGAATGATAGTATCTTCCCTTTTTGTATAGGTTGACCAGGCCACGGCAAAGGGAGAGCCTTGAAGAACCAATTCTGTATGACTGGGTAAGTCAACATCAAGTTATTGTGTACATTTTTTGTACATTTTGTGTACAGTATATATCAATTCATTGAATAGAATTCTACTCGTTCATTAGTGCGATTGTACAATCATTAGAATTATTAGAAATTGTAGGTTTATTAGCATGATGTTAAGAAAAAGTAATTTAATGAAGAAATTAATTCAATTTTTACTAATTTCATAAGGAAAAAAACAAGAACAACTTAATATTGCTATTGTTGTTTGTTATATTCAGTGAACACATGTGGGGTTATCTGAAATGGAATCTGAGACATGAGCTTGAATCTCTTGGTTTGAAGACTACCATTGATCTGGATGTCTAGCCTGTCACAGCCATGAGGCAGCATTGGCCTACGCAATATAAAAGTAAACAGTGATGGTAGCTCCCCAGATATACAGTAATCAAATATGATTCTGACAATATTTTTAATTCTGGGTTGTTGATCCTTATAGATTTGTTTGTGTTGTCAAGGAAGATTTCCCAAGTAGCAGAGATCTAGACATAAAAGAGTACATGCTCTGCAAAGCACTGCGGGATACTGGAATGGTCATCAAAACCAGAACTTATGTTCTAACTTGGTGGACTCCAATAATTAAGTACCATCTATGGTAGAAATAACACTTATATTTGTTCAAGAGAATTGTTTAAGCCCATACTAGAGGGGCTTTATATTGAGCATTGCATGTTATCATGGATTCTTGCTTCCTTTCATGTAATAATGTTAGGCATTGAATGGCACCATCTATCTACTTGCAGAGGTTTCATTGTGAGGCACACAAGGACAAAATAGAGGTCAAACAAAAGTCCAAACTGGTGCCATATACTCTTTCTGACAAGCAATTATATAAAAGATATTAAGTCATCGAGTTGGAAAAGAACAATGTCTAACCTGTATGTTTATTTATTTCTTTTTTGTGCATGATAAGAAACTGTCATAAAGATGTTAATGGTGTCATCCGATACTTATATGTTAATGTTGTGTTGTGTTGTGTGTTTCATTAATTGTATAAAGTCACAGTGAAGATGTACACAATGTATGCATTACTTGTGGATTTCCTTGTTCTATTTTGTTTGAACTTATAGAGTCAAAGCAAGGGAGGCAGAAGTCGAACATTTACTGATGGGGACAGGTAAAGACAGAGTAGGAATGATAGAGGGTGAAAGAGATAGACCAAGAGAGGGAGACACGAGAGAGAGAGAGAGAGAGAGAGAGAGAGAGAGAGACAAAAACCAAACAGGCATATTGTATAGCTCTTATTGTTGCATTAAATCCTACAAGTTTCAACATGTTATGTGTTTTGATTTCATTAAAAGTTAAAAGTAGGAGGATAGAGAGAGAGAGGGAGGGAGAGAGAGAGAGAGAGAGAGAGAGTCAAACAGATAGAGAGAGAGAGAGAGAGAGAGGGAGATGGAGAGAAGATCAGATTCATTTATCCTTTAATTTTTTTTTTAGTGGTCAAAATTATTTTTGTCTGATATCATTCTATTGATACAAATCTACAAATTAATGTTTATCTTATTGTGCTTGGTATTTTGAGATCATGTTAGAAGTATCAAGAGAACTTTGTAATGTGTAAAAAACATATGACAATATTTCTGTGCACAGGCGTAAACCAGCGTTGAAGCAAGATGACTTAGAAAGACCTCCTAGAGCCAAATCTGCAACTCTTCCTGTCGACACTGGTCTACCCCTTGGTAAATTGCTATTTATTTTCTGTTAGCTAAACATTAGACATGTAGTATTTAGCATGTACACGTTTAAGAAAAGAAAGATGTACATGTATCAGAGTACTCGGATTGTTTTATAGAGCAAAATGCTCTATATCAAATAGTTTGTAAGTTGCTCAGTTATTTCTTTATTTAGGTTTGAGAGTGAGTATCCAATCCCCCCTCCCCCTCCACCAAAAAAAAGGAAAAATATTTGTTCTCTTTTCTTCTTGCAGGGCAACGTGATACTGGAAGTGCAACCCGTAGAAAGAAAGAACAGTATAGGAAGGAACTTGAACAACAAATGGAAGAGGCTAAGGCAGCTAAAAAGAGGTTGGTTTATTATTAAAAAGTGTTTGGTTTATTATTAAAGGTATTAGTGTTGAAGGTCATCACATGGAGCTTTGGTCTGCCTCTCATCATGTTTATATCAAGAGAGAGAGAGAGAGAGAGAGAGATAGCATGTGTCATATTGCTTGCATCTTGACATTGTGTACAATACAATGATGATCTAAAACAGATTGAACCATTCTTATTGCTATGATGATCCTTTTTGTCTTGCCCACCGAAGGTGGAGGCAAGACAAAAGGATCCTAATGGCGTCTGTCCCTCATCCTTCACAAATAATGATAATAGTGAGTTCTTGTATAGCGCTCATGTCTGTCAGACTTGACACTCCTGGCGCTCCCAGTGCTGCTGCATTTTTTAATGCTTAATTGTTAGTACGATTTTACTTATGTTTGTACATTTTAAGTGATGTTATTCCTGGAAGTACAATTGTATTGTTATTTTCATATTACTACCTAATCATAAATGTTTGCCTCAAAAATTCATCAAAATTGATCTTGTTTTAGGGAGAAGGCGATGGATCAAAGTCCTGGATTCCCTGGGTCTACTAAGCCATCCGCTGCTCAGGTAAGACATGATTATTGTCAAAAGAAGATCATTTTATTTATTTTTAGAAGAGGAAAGTGAGCTAATTCTAATGATATTTGGTGATAAATAATGAGGTATATGTAGGATACAAAGTAGTCCTATGGAATCACTGTGATATATATATATATATATATATATATATATATATATAATGGTTTATTTATTCAAAAATAATATTGCAGCCCAAAAGCTGAATTGCACAATTTTTTTACAAATCTTTGACATAAAAACAAATTATAATGAACGTTGTAAAAAGCATTACACAAAATGATAACTGCATACAAAATTAGTAACACAATATATTCAACAAATAAAGCAACCTCTCCCCCATCTCTTTCTCTCAATCTCAGGTACAACAACCTCCTCCCCAGAGTTACACACCATCATTCCATCAGCAGCAGCAGCAGCAGTATGGGAATAGACCTCAACCAGTCTCTACTACACCGTACCCTGGCTCACAGTATGGCATCCAAGATATACAGGTGAATAGTGGAGTGTCATCTTTCATTTTATCTAGGCTCATTGGTATTAGGATTTGGGTTGTAATAGGGTTATACATGTACATATAAGGTTGGGGTTGATTTGATAGTGTTATTAATAGGAGTTCAAGTTAGGAATTGATTAGTATTGGAGTGATTAGTACTGATCAACTTTCAATCAAACTGTGACAAAATCTAATCACTCCTGAAAGATTAGAATTATTATATATTTTTCTTCCACACTTTCTCACTTTCAATGCATGTATTAAATTTTGTTGGGAATGATGAAACACTTTATAGACGAAGAGTAAATTTGCTAATCACATAAAGATGAAATTAGTGTAGACCTCAAACTGTCCCTGATATAATGCCAATTTGGGCTAGTTAAAGGGACTAGAAACCTGACAATGCCCTGCAGTTTGATTCTACAAGTGTTTCTTTTCTTTTCTGTTCTCAATCTGAAAGGTATCACTTGTTAAAGGTTTGTATCAAATTCAGAAGATATCATTAATAAAAAAATAAAAAAACAATTTTGACATAATAACTTGGGAAGGCAATCCAAGTTTCAGTCAATATCTTCAGAAGCAGATAATTTACCCTCGTAACACAGCGACAAATTGTCATCTTTCACTAGCACACTGATATGCTTGCATTGCTAGATACAATCTAGAAGGGTGGGGGAGAAGGAGGGAGGGTGGAGAGGGAGAGAGGAGAGGGAGGGAGGAGGTCTCTCCACTTCTTTCTACAGGGGTTCTCATGGAAATCATTGTAATGGCATTTTTATGGCATGCTTGTCATACCATAGAATTATGACTGGTTTATGCAAGTCTATAAAGGACTACTAAGAACTGTGCTTGTTTTATTCAAGCTGGACTCTGTCTTGCAAAGGTCTATGCTTGATCAGAGATGATTGAAAGCTAGTGATTAATACAATCATTGATCTCTATATTGTAGGGTTACAAGCGATATCAAATATAAGTTAAAAAATCAAATCAAATGAAGCTTTATTTATATAAGACAGGGCCCTGGAATGAGCATGAACTTGTTTAAGTAGTGTATTAACATGGGGATGTATTGATATCTTAGTCCCAGGTACCTTCATACAATGCTGGTTCCAGGCCCTACTCTCAGATTGCTCAACCAAAGGAACCTATTGGTGATCTAGGACTCAAAGAAGCATTGGCCAAATCTCAGCCAAAACTCCTGGAAAGGTAAGACACTGTTTGAATTGGAATCAAGTTCAATTGAGTTAAACTAAATTGAATTGAAACTAAATGTAATTTAGATTAGATTGGTTGAATTAAATTAGATTGAATTACATTGAGTTCAATCCAAACGAAAGGAATTGAGTTGAATTGAATTGAATTGAATTGAAATTAATGTAATTAAGTTCAGTGTGTGGATTGAAAAGGACTGAGTTGAATTGAGTTAGACTGAATTGAACTGAACTGGACATTGTTTGAACACATTCCATTTGGCAGTTTAACAATTAAAGAGACATGACTGATAAATGCTATGAAATCAACACTAAGTACTGCTACATGAAGATAGTTGTCCAAGGTACATAGAACATTTAGAGGTATGGGGTAAAAGGCTTCAGTGTTATATGTTTAGGGGCAGGCCACTTATCGGCAGTGATTTTTTGTTAGAACGTACATGGGATAAAACAGGCTTGGCTAAAGATGGTTTTAGCCTTTGGATTTTTAGAGTGGTATTGAGGCCAGCGAGTAAGACAGTTACAGCAACATCTCTTTTACCTTCAAAGTAATATATAAACTGGAATAGCCTTAGTTTAGTACTGCCCTATGACTTTACAGCAGCTCATGATTGTTAGCATCTTGCTATTATTATACTTATACCCAAAGAAATACATCTTTGTTTTTCCCCGTTCTTACCCCAAATATACACCAGGGATTTGACTTTTTTAACAGGACATTAGCTGGCACTGTATAAAAGTGTAATTTGTGTTTTTGTATTTAAGATATACTGAATGAAGGTAGAAATATTGGCTGAATTATAGAGATGGTTTAATACCCCCTTGCTGCGATTTGTGTACATAAATACATGTGGAACCAACGCAATGTAATTCCAGATACCTTAAGGGGACTATTATGAAATCATTTAGACTGTACCCGTAATAAACAAATATTAAATGCATTTATGATATAGTGCCTTGCTAGGTAAGTGTGACTAACCAAAGTACGTACAGTGTGACTGACCAAAAAATGTAGATTGTGACTGACTAAAGTATGTAGAGTGTGACTGACCAAAGTATGTAGAGTGTGACTGACCAAAGTACGTAGAGTGTGACTGACCAAAGTACGTAGAGTGTGACTGACCAAAGTAAGTGCAGTGTGACTGACCAAAGTACATGCAATGTGACTGACCCAAAAATGTACATGTACAGTGGGACTGACCAAAGTACGTACAGTGGGACTGACGAAAACGTGACTGACCAAAGTACGTACAGTGTGACTTACCACAGTACGTACAGTGTGACTGACCAAAAAATGTACAGTGTGACTGACCAAAGTACGTACGGTGTGACTGACCAAAGTGACTATGACAACTCTACAATAACAGCTCCTTCTTGAGAACTGAATGCATTATTAGCTCTCTTTAGAAAGAGAAGGATGAAAAAGATGAGGCTCGTTTTTTGAATTTTGGCTAACGGCTGTGATTTACAAAGTCAACAGTATCAGGGCTCGACAATAAACAGTAAAGGACAACTTCTCATGCAATTATTTGACTTTTTATTTGCTTGACATGGCTAGTGGCTCTCCCACTCCACCCCAAACAACAGCAAAACAAACAGAAAGTTAAGTTATCAACAATTTGAATTACATCAAATTTCAAGCAAACAGAAAAACAAACTGGAGACTTAAAAACTACCATTAAGGACTTGAGTAAGAAGAGCCATGTGATTTTGTAGGTTGATATTATTGATGTAAGTGTGCACATGTCATTGTAGCATGTAATTAACATGTGTTGATCTGTATTAAAGTGCTGCGTAGAAATGTTTGATTCAAAAGTAAACAATTTGTTTGTGACTAAGCTTGCTAGGATGAAGGTTTTCTCTTTTTTTCTTGTTCTTAGACCATTCTCTTTGAATTACCCTCAACCATCAACAATCAACCAACCGAGTACCAATACAGATCCATACATGTATTACGGCATGAGGAATCCACTAGAACCAGATCCTAATCCAAGTGAGTAGTCAAACTTCTTAAAGGAATAAAAAGGTAGTTGTGCCTTCTGTATAATATTTATCTATTTATCATATTATAACAATTGTTATTGTTATAGCTCTATCACTTACTATGTCATTATCTACCTGTCCAACAGCCAGCACCATATAATGTTATTATTAATCATGATTTGAATAGCAGCCTTTTCACACAGGGATAACATTCATTGTATCTAAAGCTGTTTAGTTTAAAGCTCTTTAACTAAACAGCTTTAAAGTAAATTTTCCCTGTGCGAACGTGGTTTATACGATGTTCGTGCAGATACATATCACATATTTAGTTTAAAAGTAATTTTCATTTCATTTGTTCTGTAAAGCGCTTGGAAACTGTATTTGTATGCCAGCGCTATATAAATCTTAGATGTTATTATTTTGTTATTATACAAACATTCGATCTAAAGACGGTTCAAAGCAGACTGCAGATACGAAGTCCGTATCTAAGAGGCAAGACATTTTGTGTGTGAACGGGTATACGTCCTTTACTGGGTGGAGTTGAGACTGCATGGGTGCCAATCTGCCTGATAGTAAACACAATCCAATCGAAAAGATATTTGATACAGCGCCTTTTCCTTGCGGTTTTAAAGCGCTGCACACACTGCTTCACAATGTTTGGGCCACCTATAAACAAAAGTTGGTTACTTCTCAAAGATCAGTTAAGTATATGTATATCATGTAGGCTGGTAATAAAGTACTTTCTAGCAGAATAGATGTGACTTTAGTCATTTCTTAAAGTGGTCAACAGATGAGGCCGTCTGCACTGCAGTAGGTAGCTGGTTTCACAGTTTTGGAGCAACCGATGGAAAAGACAATTCACCAGCACGTTTCTTGGAAAGACACTGAGTGAGCCAGATGGATGATGATGAGCTGGTATTTCGGACTCGAGGACAACAAATCATGCAGTCTGCAATGTACAGGGTACATCGGTGGTTATGAGACTTGTAGATCGGCAGTAGGATCTTAACAGCTATTCTCTGCCGTTCTCTGAAGTTCAAGTCGAAGAGGTTGTATGTGAGTTCGAAGAGGAGCAGAGAAGGTCCCTTTGGCTGAGAACTCTGAAGAGACTGTTGCAGTAGTCTAGTCTAGAAAGGACAAGAGCCCTCATCGCAGCGTGGCATGTTGGCTTATTGATAAACTGCCTCACCCTCCACAGGTTACGTAGGTGGTACTTGATGCTTTTGCTGAGAAGGTTGACATGAAAGCTTGAGTTACAGATGGTTCTAATGAATCAGAATTATTCTTGACATGAATCATTTTTTATTGCTACTACCTTTGGTTCTTGTTTCTATTTATTTATCAACATGAAGAATCCCAAGCAGGGAAGATCTGGGTAGGAGAGATGACCAAGTCACTAAGCAACTTAGGCGGTAAAACACTTCATCCCCATCACCTGATACCAATCATTTATAATCTGCATGTAGTAACCTGTTTGATTTGTAGTTTGTAGAATAACAAATTTGTCTCATATCCTTTGCACTGAACTTTGTTAGAACTGGTTTAAAGTAACACTTTACATTATCTTTTACCATTTTCTGTTCTTCATACAAATTTTAGGTCATTTGATCTGACATCAGATATTTAGCCTCGCACAAATCTTATTTTTTTAGAGTATTAACCTCTTCAACTCTTTGAAGCACTTCTTTTCCCCATATCCACAGATGTCATTTGGTGTCAGAAGATCACTTCTATGTAGATAAACAGAACTTGTAAAAGATGCACATTTCTTCACACCATTAAATGTTTGTTTACTTCCTGTATATAATACACACATCTCTCACATTATGACCCATTCTCTGCTTCAACATGTACATGTACAGGCGTGCAGTTTTTTTCAATCAGAAGCAGAAGTATGTGGTGTTTATTAACTTAACTTTACCTTGCAGATAGCACTTGTTTGTTATTATGCCACAATTGAAACTGTACATACTTGGCACACTTCAGGTAGACAGTTGCATATACCGGTATAGAGTGTTTCTAATTATTCATGTAGTATAATGTAGCTAAATGCTGGTGTACATGTTTGTAACCACGATATGAAGTTACTTTATAATACTCTGTGGCTGCCAATCACAAGGTGATTTGTAATTGGTCAGTGAAATGATTGCACCTCATTATTTCTACTTACTGTTGATCTTAACCTTAATTCTGTATTCCATCTCAGGGTTGGTATTAGGGTAAGGAGATGACATAAGGTTAACCTAACCTTAATTCTGTATTCCATCTCAGGGCTCGGATTAGGGTAAGGGGGTGAGATAATGTTACCCTAACCTTAATTCTGTATTCCATCTCAGGGTTGGGATTAGGGTAACGGGTTGAGATAAGGTTACCCTAACCTTAATTCCTTCCTAATACTGCAGCACTTGCCACAGAAGCAATTATTGTAGCATTGGACCAATGAGGCATACTTTTTTAATGTTTTGAATAAGAAAGCTTTGATACAAGTGTAGTTTACATGCTGGATGCTGGTATGAATTATAGCACCTTATTGATTTGTACATATTGACATGAAGAAAAATGCAAATAGGGATGTAAAGAAAGTACCTGTGTGCAGTAAAAGCTTGTACATACACAAATGTACATGTACCGTAAATCTCCGTATATAAGGCGCACTTTTTTTCCGTCGCCAAAAATCAAAAGTCGGGGTGTGCCTTATACTTGTCTCTTATAATTTGTTGATCAATACAGAAATGTGAAATACACTATGCTTGACTTTACTGCATCAGTTTTTGAGGAGGTACATGTATGAAAGGTCATGGATGGACTGTATCATTTTTGATATTAGATGTAAGTTCTCCAATCAATCACAGGTTCATTGAACTGCATTTATTAGAGAATGTACAATTGACTTGGATCAATCTTCAGAAGACATTATCATTCATTAAAGATAAAGATCAGTTATGGTCATGCAATTGCATCGTGAAAGAAACATTGTGGAATCGATCAGAAAAGGTTGATCATCTAGCATATAAGTATTGGTGTGTACTGCAAGGTTCTGGAATCATCAAAATGATAAGAAATTCGGCCCAGTCTTAGTAAAGTTACAAGCACTGTACACAGAAAGATGTATATGGAACTACGCGACATGTGCGCAACATGTGCACGATATCTATCAGGTCCAAATAAATATAATAATTACCAAATATATCAATTAGTAGGCAGGTTTCTCAGCAAAATTTGTATCATCACGTATTAGTCAAAACATATTCTTTCACAATAAGAGCTTCCATTTCATTTTTTGAGAGGGGGCGTTTCCAAAACTGGTCTTTACCTCTAAAGTCAGCAACTTCCACCTCTAACAAGAGGTTACTCACTCCCTTCCACCACTTCTTATCTCCACCATCCTCCTCATTTTCAACAACCTACTGCTTTCTTTCTTTACCACATATTTCCATGAAATATTTGGTCTTCCTTTCCATCTTTAATACCATCCACTTCCAGATCCAATGGTTTAGATTATGTGTATGTCACTTTCAGATTGAAATACGGTCATAATAAATAATTAGATTACTAATTTATTGTCTAGACTAAAAGGAAGTTCATTTGTTTGCTGTTATGATTGGATTTTAACATCATCATTGTAAATTGCACAGTTGCCAACGTTATATAAAAAGTACATATCAAATAGACCAACCTGTAGGCCTACTGAAAACTCACTATGTAATCACTTAATCTTTCCATTGAGCAGGAACTCTGACAGGGAAAAATGCAGATGCTTTTTCAGGTAAATACAAAGAGTAAAGTGTTTCATATGGTTTGAAGTCTGAGCCTAAATGTTCTTGAGACATAATATGTTCTGTACATTCATTTAAAGTGTGATTCAGATTAATCTACACACATCTTAATACTTAAGTCGTTCAACCACAGAGAAACTTGTACATGCTCTTATTTCATCACGCTTAGATTTCTGTAATTCTATTCTCTATCTGCTCCCTAACACACAACTTTCTCGACTCCAGAAACTGCAAAATACTGCTGCACGTATTGTCACACTTTCTTCTCGTAGAACCCACATCACCCCCATTCTCAAAACTCTTCACTGGCTCCCGGTATGTGACCGAATTATTTTTAAGTTGTTGTTGCTAGTTTTCCATTCCTTGTATGACTCTGCTCCTTCCTACAATATCAAGTTGACTGTTAAGTATAAGCCTACAAGACATCTTCGTTCATCTCAATCCTCCTTATTAGTTGTCCCTAAGACGCGCAGTTCCTGGGGGGATAGAGCATTTTCTCATTCTGGTCCGTCCCTTTGGAATAAGCTGCCAGTTAGTATTCGTAATTTAACTACCCTTCATGCCTTCAAAGTTGCTCTAAAAACCCATCTCTTTCTAAACAGTGCTATCTAATCATGTCAATGTAGCGTTATAATTTGTGTTTTAGTTTACTTTATTTTAGTTAAGAAGTTATATTTTTGTGACAGTAATACATGTATGTACAGCGCCATGAGCGTCAGAGCCTGGCGGATACCGGCGCTATATAAATATCCATATTATTATTATTATTATTATCTACAATGTTATACACATACTGGATGATATACAGTCAGAAATATACACATTAGGTCTTAAAGAGTTACTTTTGACTTGTTCCACATGTTTTAGATGTACTGTAGATTCCTTTCCATAAGGTTATTCAATGTACAGTATGCCACATTTGGTAAATTTGAACTCATTTTCGTTCTCCTAATGTAGTATGTGTACATGTGTACAGGTTATTAACTAAAATGTAAATGATTTCCCCTCTATTTGCATGCCTGCCTCTCACTCAGTTTCATCAAGGCCTAACAAGCTAGATGGTATGATATTATCATGGGTTACTCTTTATTTGCTGCCTAAGACTAATACATTCTTTGGATTGCTACATTTCATATATGTACATATGATGATAGTCACATGATGGTAATCACATGATGATTATATGATAGTCGCACATGGTGGTAGTCACACATGATGGTCACACATGATGGTAGTCACATGATGGTAGTCACATGATGGTAGTCACATGATGGTAGTCCTAACCCCCATTGTTAGTTCCATTAGTCTACAAAGTTGGCAAGAGTTAATGTTTATTCTCATCTAGTATTTCTTTCATACATGTACATATGTACATGTAGTAGTCCTCATCATCTGAAAAGTTGAATAAGAATATTAAGAAAACAAAAAACCAATGTAGACTTATGATTAGTACATGTAATGAAACACAGGTATTTTGTTGTTGGAGGAAGGTTCAAAGATATATGTACATAAAGATTATATTTTCTTTTTTTCAATTCAATTTCAATTTCAATGTATTCATATTTCCAACGAAACATTACAAATCAGTTATAAGCATTTAAAACAAATGTAAGAAATACATTGGCATGAATGAAGTTTGAAACAGCATTCAATATCAATAGACTATCGGTTCACAATGACATAATGATGGAGATTTTTTTTCTTCTCATTACGAGTGTACATGCATTACAATGTATATGTGATGGAAACAAATTTCATTTTGTAAACGTGTATCATGTCCTCATTTGTTTCTTATTCATTCATTGGAAGATTACATGGGTAAGTGAAGATTTGTTAACTTGTGAACATGGATCATCTTATGGATCATATCTCATAATATTAACTTAATTTAAAATGTATTTTAAGTTCTCTCTTATTAGAATTGACATTAAAAAAGGAGATGTTTTATGTTTTGTTCTGGAGGTTGGGCAATAAGAAGGTCAGGTTATTTGTTTGGTTTAATTTGTAGATGAACATGTTATTTTACTGATTTGAGATCTAGAGGGATGTGAAGTTCTTTCTACTTGACTGGGTTATCTCATACACTTTTCTCCTCTGGTTTAGGAAAGGGGTTTAACTCCAAATAGCAACATGATTTACAGGTTATATTATTGTCATAGATTACTATCAAAGACTCTTTGCTTTTTCTTTGTTATGTACCTGTACATGAAGTAAATCATCCAGCCTCACAGACTACCAGTAAGCAGGTCAACCATGCGCAGGGTCAACGGCCCCAAGCCGACCTCAGAGGTCAAAGGGCAAAGACCCCCTATCATAGTATGTACAATGTTATTCTATTCTATTACCTTCAAAGTTTAAAATCTACAACATCTGAAAGGGGAAAGACCCCTCCCCCCTAAAAAATGAAAAGGCAAAAAGCAAACAGTATGGCATTGGGGATTAAAGAGCACAACTTTATACAGGAAACTAAAAACCATGGTGGGGGGTGGGGGTGGGGTGTGGTTAGGGGAGTTAACTTGTAGTCAATAGAAACTAACAAACTAGAGACCAACCCATTGCCTACTGGAAACCAATCATCCTGTATTAAACTGAAGGTTCCTCTATTAAACCGAGTGTTCCGCTATTAATCCGATGGT